GATGTACCATTTTGTTCTCACTGGGAGGCAACACAGGGACTGTCAATGGATTATATGGTAAATGTAATTTTTATAATAAGCTGAACTATACATGGATCAGACTGGTCCTTATTAATAATCTATTGGAGGAAAGACACCATTAACTATATTATTTTTTATCATATAAAACGACAAAAGTCCATTTAAAATTGTGTGTCTATCCATTCTGTACATCAATAATACACTCAGCATTACCCTGTGTACCACTTTTTTGTTCTTACCACATTTAATTGTCATCTTTGATCTATAACTGAACACACACATGAGAACACAGAATCTATTTGTTAAATAGAGTATAAGGGTTTGGTTAACATGCATTTAACCCAGAACTGTCAGGTAAATGTAACATAGATGTAGTCTGAACATCTACTTTTTCTTTCAGTTTCCCTCCATTGTTGGACAGCACTGTGTTTCCTGGGAGGGAACATGGCGTGAAGTGACAGGACTGGCAAAAAACGCTTCTTTTGCAATTCGAGAACAGGCTGGACATTCAATAAAGAGTGCCCTTAAGGTGAAAAATCAAATTTAAATTTTTCATCATTTACAACTGGTAGAGGTGTATTTAGGACAAGACTTGATTTGCATACACTTTTAACTACTTATTAGACTATGTGTCTGTGGTACATTTTCAGCACACTGTAATAATGGACAAAAGAAACAATATTGCACTTCCAACCAATGGATACTTCATAAAGCTTGCACAGGTACATTTTACAAAAAAGTTACCATATAAAATTAATGTAAACATGTATATACAATGCTTTTTAGGGTACAGACAAACCTCCCTAATAACCACTAAGAATATGAGGACTCATCGGTGGCTTAAAGGGAGGTAGCTTCCAAGCAAAATTGTAATTTGTGTGATTTCAATCACAAGCCTATATGCAAATTAAATAGTATCAGTGACAGTCAAATATGCTCTTTTCCATTTTCTCTGTGTAAGGAATTTGCAGGCTTGGGTGGAGATGTTATGTTCTTAAAACACAACTTCGAATATCAACAAAGTGTAGAACCTCTGAAAGATGTGGTGAGTATATATTTTGTCTTTCTTTGCTATTGGATTACAGAGGGAGAGAAGTTTTAATTTTGCTTGTTGAAGTTTTTATATTGTATACATAGATAAGGCAGTGTAGATAAATAGAAAAAGATATCTAGATATAGATATAGTCTCTAGATACATAGATAAATAGATAAATTCTTCAAGTAGAGTATTAATTATAAGGGATTAAAATTTGTGCACTAATTTTTGTTCCTTATTTCTCACTCCCTTTGGGTTAAAATCTTTCTTACACACAAATTTACACAATTTACAAAAGGACACAAATCATTCCCCTGAGAACCCATGCTGTTTTATAGCACAGCCCTGATTTTTGCGACACTCATTCAAGTCCTTGAGTTTGCGTTTACTTGTATTTTGGCAGATTTTATCCTGGTCGTTTCAAGGAGGAAGTCTACATCCATTGTTTAATACACCATCAAAAATAAGTGATCGGTAGGGTTGATTTGTGATGCAATTTACCAGCAAGGCATTTGTCCATAATGACAGTAAACGCTTTACTTTACTCTGACAACAGTTAAGTATTAGATCGACCAGTATTACAGATATGTAATTTCTTTCCCAACGATATTCGGTCTGAAATTGGAATAGAAAATCCGATGTGGTTGTCAAGTTCTTCATGTGATTCGTAAAGAGGCAGACTAAATCGATCATGTAAATAGAAGAAGAAAGATGGTAAATTTTGAGCTCGGTAAAGAAATAGTGAAAGATAGTTCCAAATTTAGCATCTTTCTTATTCTATTTACAAACATGACGCTATCGACATTGCTGAACCTAGCGGTATGCAGGACGCGTGTCATGTGAATTTCGTAATAGACCACGCTCACCATGGAGTCTCTGTGGCTCAGTGGGCATCGGAGCGTGGAATCCGAAGGTCTGAGGTTCGATTCCTCATGGGGACTCAGAATTTTTTCTTTGTCCCACGGTCGTGACAAGACGAAAAATCCTTCATTAAATCAATCATGTTATGCAGAAAAGGGAAGAAGGGAAGGCAAGATGGCTCAACCTTGTCGCTTGCTTATTTACACTGAAGGGCCTGTTGTCTTGCTTTTGTTTATTTGTTTGTTTTGTTGTTAGAGTTGTTTTGCTTTTTAGAATAGACGGCGCAACGGATTATAGCCTAGGCTAATTTTTGCTACTTTAGTAAGTCTTTCAAAAGTGAAGTTACATTTGAGTTGATTATCAAATTGGTGAATTATTTATAACTCAATATGTATGCTGCAAACGTATTTTTTTTTCTTTACGTAGGTTATTCCTTGGAGGTCCACTTTCCGTACGAGGATTTAACTCAAAAGGGATTGGGCCGAGAAGTGAAAGTGAGTATCGCGCAAGAAGGATAAATAGTGTGTTTGATGAAATCACATTCCCAAAAGCTGATGTGGTACGAAAAAGGGGTAGGGTTATCCCGTTTTACAAAATACAAAGCCACCAGGCCAGTATTGCTTCGCTGGGTAGGATGCTAATCCATTGTCGGTCGTTGGCTATCATCAGCGCCTGTCATTCAAAAAAGGAAGACGAACTTTATCAGGCCTAATGTGTAGTTTTAAGTCCCGTTATATCCTTTGAGGAACTTCGTGCACAGTATGTTTGTTTGTAGATGATTCTCTGGGAGCGGATGCTTACTGGGCAGCAGGACTTCACGTATACACGCCCTTGCCGTTCAGACCAGGACGAGGTGGTCTGGGCGACAGAATCAAAACACACTTATTTGTCAACACTGGAAATCTGATTACACTTGACACAAGTATGACTAGAGTTAAACTTAAACTTTAACAATCCTATGAAGGTCGCGATATTTGCAAGGGATTTGTCTAAGTAGCTAAAAAATCTGAATTTGGGATGAAAGTTTGAACGCGATGGCGAGAACTTTAAAGACTGAGGTTTGTGTTATCTGCTAAAGCCGAAGATTTAGGCGGATAAAAAAAAAAACAAGGCCTTGATAATTCTCGCCTCTTTGTAAATACCGAATTCTGTAATTGTCTGTCATTGAATTCCCAAAACACCACCGCCTGTAAGTTTGACGAGATTTATACAGGTACCATTAATTTACTGATACTTAAAATCTTAGAACAGTGCCAGATTGAATTCGGACTCGATATCATTGTGTGATAAGTGTATGCTACTGTCAAGTATATGTAAGAACAATTTTGTGAATGGTGTATTTTCTCGGGGGAAAAGGGGAGGGGGTTTTAATTGTTACTTTTTCAAACTTGAACACCTTAACAAAAACCTGTCTTTTTCAGATCTTCCGTGGAGAAGCAGATTTAATTCGTTAAGAGAAAAGATCCGGTGGTCCTGTGGAGCTGGGCTGGTTTTCATGCTTGGAATTGCTCGGGTGGAGTTAAATTACTGTTTTCCTATCGCAGCACAAAATACAGACAGGTGAGATGACGTTACATTAAACGACTTAAGGCCTACAAGATTTGATGAAAAAATGGCCAGATGATGTGTTATGCAATATATAGAGTTCATAATTCATTTGAAGCATGGGAACGTTATTTTGAAACTTGGAGAAGAATATAGAAAAAGCAAAGATAATGAAACAAGAAGACATAACTGGCTGTCGGTACTGAAACAAAACTCTTAAAAAGAACTTTTGAAAGGTTTGACTGATAGTGACAACTCACGATGGTGTAGCTAGATACTGAATAAATCAATTTCCTCTTCAGTTTGTTGAAAATGGCAAAAATTAATGAAATACCAATAGTTTTGTCATTGTTTTTTTTCTTCAGTGTTAACCATGGAATTCAAGTTGGTGTTGGAATAAACTTCCTTTAACATTATCTTCGCTCACAACAAAAATTATTTAATGATAGAAATCAAGGATTTGTTGAAAACATCGACCTTTGCAGAAATGTATCTCCGTACCAAGGGTCGAAGGTCTATGAGGCGTGACCAGAAACCGATGTCTTGCGTTTTGCCTTTCCTTCTGTTAACGAGGGAGATAGGAAAGGACTTAGCATAAGACCTTCATTAAAGAATCAGTTGGAAAAGATGGTTTTAAGGCCTAAAACAAAGGTGAATGGTGGTATTTTCTGTTTTCTTGCTTGCGCTCTTGCAGTCCTTGCGCTTTCGGCTCTGCTTCGCGAAACAGAACGTCACGTGTTCGTCTACCCTTTGAACTGAGGAAGAGCCCGTCATTGTGACATTGGTTTTTATCGCCAGTAGAAAAATAGTCGACAAATCTTTGACGCATTATGCTGGTGTTTTACGGAACACATCAGTCATTTGAGGCGCCGACAGAAGATTGAGCAGTCAATTAACCAGAGGAGTTTTCAAGTCGAGTTTGCCTGGTGCAATAAACCATCAAGAACGTAATAAAAGTAAAGATCAAACATTTCGTGTTATTGTGATATGTTGTTCGATACGTTTGAAATTAGGGTCCATTTACGAGAGTCGACATTTTAGAGTCGACTGGTTCATTGCTACCGCGAGCTAATTAATAGTTTCTGCAGCATGAAGCGACTAGAATCACAGGTGGCCCAAGGGGGCTTCTCAAATGTACGTAATAAAGCTAGAAATGGATAACTCGCAAAAATGAGTTCCTTTTAACATGGCAAGCGGTCAGATAACAAGCGATGCATTGTGGAAGTAAGGTGAGGTTTTTTTTTTTTTATCAAGAATTTAATCGTACTTTTTATTCCTAAGAGCGGTCGTAAATATTCCCATACAAACACTTAATTTCGCCATGACTCTTATTTTGCAAGATGATTATATCACAGCTGGAGCTTGGGCCACCTGTGCTAGAAGTAGCGTGATCAATGTCTGATCCACGAGCTCGGAAATCGGCACGTACCCATATCTTATCACGCGACTTAGCACGTGCCTTTTGTCATGGAATAAACTAAATAAGATGAAGCCGTAATCACTGAGGGAAGGATTTAATATTTTTGAACATACGGAAAAGTACGAGCATTTTTCGGAAACATCGAGCAGAGCATAAATAGGATGATAGGCTCCCTAAGAGATTAACGTGAGAAAACCCTAAAACACAGCGTTTGAAAAATTTCGGACTGATTGCAGCTGGGTTTCAAAGATCGACTTTACAAGCAAATCTGACTTGACTTGAATTACAGCAGATTGAAGTTCACAAAAAAACTCCTCGAATGCGCGGAGGCTTGTCAGTTATAAAAAGATCAATTCAAGGGAACAGATTTGAAATTCGAGAAGAGATTGCAGTTCGATTTGTCCTTAGCTGAATATCAAACCTCCCCGCAAACTTTGAACAAACCCTCCAAACGAACAAACAAAAATCTTGGCTATCCTTGCACGCATCACACGCCTGATGCCCATATGGACGTGTTGTAAGTATTTCTTTCTCATATTATACCACAACAAAGCCTTAAAACAGCGTAAAAGTAACGTTTGCAACATTAAAAAATCGCTTTTGGGAGTTGATGCACACTAAATGAGTTGCTCGTAGTTCGAAGAATGGGTGAGAAAGTAACAGTGTCTGGTTGGAGGATAAACAATATCTATGGTACCTCTGTGGGTTATCTTTCTGGTTGAACCTCAGATGCCTGTGACAGCTGCACAAAGTTATCAACCTTCTCAGGAGAATTCATAATGCCAAAAAAATGTAGAGCACCATCTAAAGTCAGAAATGAAAGCGTGTGATAAAAAAAATCTCGTGTTTGAATAAGTGCTCTATCCTTTAAGACGACGAAATACCACTTAGCTAAGCGCTAAGAGTAATTTGCTTCGGTTTTTTTTTCTTTTTTTTTTAATTTGAGCAACTTTTTTCCATAAAATAATTTAAAGGATATTGAAGGGGTTGAAACAGGTTCCCACTGATGTGATGGAGAAATAACAAATTTCAGGGAACTTCCGGAAATTGACTTTGATGTACATGCGTTTGGGTGACATTTTAAGTCTGTAAGTCCATTCTAAACACGAGGGTCGCACATGCCAACATTCAATCGATGAACCGTTTCAGTTGTTATTACATCATGTGAGCGTAAACATAAAATACAGAAAAGAGAAGGTTTTTACAGTTTCCAATAGATCTTTGAAAGCGAAGGTAATATCGCGTTCTATTTTTTCGTATTTAAGAAAAAAAACAGACTTTTCGTGGATGCTCTGTGAATACATGGAATGTGCGACCCATCATCTTGCTTCCGTCTGATTTTCCGTTTGTTTACTTCGTTCTTTGAAAGCACGGAAAGCATCCCGTTGGTTTCCTTTTTCTCGAAGTTGCAAAAACAAAGAGCTCTGATGAGGAGTCGAAGGGATCAGACCGATGGTGACATGGAAACAATTAGATCAGGTATACAATCCTTAGAGCCAGCGGGAATACCTGTGAGTAATATCGGCGTTGGTTGTGAGCGCAGTATGGAGAGGACGTTAAGTACGGCGTCAGACATCGTAGTGCGCCCTTGGGATGGAGTTCCGAATCAGGAGCCTCACTATTTTACCTTTGAAGTGTCGTGGGAGGTTGCCAACAAAGGTAAGTCTCACGTATGCTTGTTACATATTCACTTTTTCAAGACGGCAGGGATGCTAATTGCTTCCCACCCCCTGCTCTGTTTGACTTGGTCCAGAACTAAAGTTAATAAGTAACGTTAATATTTTGCATCCCCTTGCAAAGCATTGTCATCTTTCATGCACTGACTATCTGTGATGTTCGCTAGTGATTGTTGTAATTTCCAAGTCGTCAGAAATCTGACTGTTTGCAGAGGCTGCTTACAGACGGAGCGAGCTTAGCACAGACATTCCTACTTTGACCTCGATTGGTTTCATTATTGTTTTAATTAAAGTAGTAAATCCCTCCTTTTTTCTTTGCTACCATTGACAGTCTCTTTCCCCGATTGCCACGAAAGGCTCGAAAGCGCAGCCAATTCGATCAGCTGATGTTCTTGTTTGTCGACGTCAGAATTTGTTTATTTTTAGGTGCGTGACTGTTTAATTTCTAATGATCGAATGACACTAGGGAGTATCCTTGTAGTTAAGAAACTGGTGCTATTGTTTTGAACATCGTGAAAAATTGATGCTATAAATTAATCTCATGAATTACGTCTGACTCTTTCTTCATCATTTACTGAAAGGAACTTATTATCATAACTTTTAATTATTTTCTTAATGGTTAGCATTTTTTGCATTGTTTTCTTAAATTATGCATGACAATAAACTTGGCACAACATACATGCAAATGTAGATGCAGGTGAGGCAAGTTTGCTGCTTGGGAAATTATGGTTTGAGGAAAAAGTTGATAAAACTCAGTGTCCCCCCTTTTTTCTTTCCAAATAATCCTTGCACCTGTTAAATTCTCAAGAATTTTAAGTAATTTTGGTGGTAATAAAAAATGCTACAGTTGTTAAATTTTACTGGCTACCTCCTGAAAAGGAGAACAGTAGATATCAGGGATGGGTATAGTCGGTATCCCTTTGAGAAGGGTGACAAATAGAACATACTTACCAAATTGATCTCTCTTTACATGTGAGATATTCATAACACCAAAGTAGCTCTGAGCTAATTTGGCACCTGTTTGATGTCCTGGGAAATTGATCTTGGTTGGGTGGGTAGTTGCTGTAAAAAAGTTTGGATTTTTGATTAAATTTCTCAAAGAGGCAAATCTGGTTGCCATCTGATCCTTGTTCATTTCAAACACATCATCTGGAAACAGCAGACAGCTGGTAGGAGCCAAAATGATTTATGGCAATTGTAATAAGGTTATTAGCTTCCTTTTTATTGGATAGAGACCTATCACAAAGCCAGCTAAATCATGGTTTTTTTTATTTATTTTCTTTACTACAAGCTGAGCAATGCCTTCGCAGCCAACTATATTGGAATTTCATTCCTGTCCCTTTCATTTAGGAGTTTCATCTTGTAAGAATGTTGTTGAAATTTCTCTACAACAAATTTTTAAAGGGCCTTATGCTACTATGACGGCATATATTTTGTACAATGCAAAAAAATTATATATGGCTTTTTGTGTTTGAATTTAGTTGGTGGGATCTACACTGTGATCAGATCTAAGGCACCTGCCGCAGTTGATGTACTAGGAAACAAGTATTGCTTGATAGGAATTTATAATGATCTGCAGTGCAAGACTGAGGTCGAAATGGTGGAACCTGAAGACCCTGCCATTAAAGGTGCTATTCAGGCCATGAGAGACAGTGGTGTAGAGGTATGAGACATTTATTACTCATACCAAAAGAAAAAACTAAGTGAATGGTTATTAGCTGAGTCATTAATTGTGTTGGATTTTAACAAATCTGGGTTTACTTTTCTAAATTGTTGCACGGCACTGTAAAGTCAGGTCACATCATTTGACATGGGACCTCATCAGCCTTGTCCAGATGGACAGAACAATGTATTTCTACCTGTCTCTCTTTGCTAGAATGCTCTTAGGAAGTCCTTTACAAGCCTAAAGATGAATTTAAAATTGAAAAAAAATTTGAACAGGTGCATCATATGCTGGCCATTTGCAGAAATTTGTGAGAGCTCATTGTAGTTTCTTTGGCACAAAACCACTAGGAGTATTGCTACATCCCCTAGATGGGAATTCCCAGTGTATTACTGGTTCCTTCCCCCCGGAATTTCATCAGGCTTCCCAAGCAGTTTGCTAGTACCCTGTACACTAATGGGTGGAACAAGGCTTGTAAGAGTGAAATGTCTTGCCCAAGAACACAGCACAATGACCTACCAAAGTCTTCAACCTAGACCTAGTGTCGCGACAGTACCATATCTCTCCAAACAACTTCATTTAGTGATTATAAAATTGGAGTGTTCATGTTTTTGTCATTTTTCATGCAGACTCATTTTGGAAGATGGTTGATTGATGGATATCCCAAGGTGAATAGATGAATAGTTATTTGTTTGTCAAAGTGAACATATCATGAAATCTTTTACTTGATTAAAATAACATACATGGTTTTTTGAACAGCTATCAGTGATAATTATGGACTTCAAGTTTCATTGAAAATGTTGATAAATATGAAAAATTGAATGCTTCTCTCTCTCTCTCTCTTAAACACAAATTCCCAGAAAAAAGAAGAGATTTCTCTTAGTTATCAATACGATTACAAGTTATAGAAGTCATAAAATTTGCATTCAATAGTTATACTGTTTACAATATCAATGTTTAGGTGGTTCTTTTCAACATTGGCTCAATTTACCACAAGCTGGGTCAAATGAAGAATGACTTTTGGAAGAAAACTCACATTGGTATCCCTGACCTTGACACAGAGTCTAATGATGCTGTTGTGTTGGGATTCCTAGTTGCACAGTTTATTGGAGAGGTGCAGTAATGTTGGAGCATAAGTGCCTATGGCTTTTATAAATTTAAAGATTCTTCTTTAGATATAACAAGGAATGGGAGACAAACAGAACACAAAGGGGAAAATTGTTGAGGGAAAGGGGTTTGATTAAGGGAAAGGGGGATAAAATTGGTGTGCTTTTTTAATTAGAAACAGATTTTGATTGGTTCTTACACGTAACCTATTAAAGGAAATAGGTATAAATGACATCACTATTTAGAAATTTTTGCTTTTTGGTTATATAAAACAAATAGATTTCATGTGGCCATGGGTCTGTACAGTAATAGATCAGGAATGTCAAAATGTGTTAAGAACATCAGTGACACACTCATCTGTACCTTATGTGCGATTGTCTTGTTCTTACCATATTTTGACATCATCTGTGATCTATTAAATTAATATATGGGTGCAGACACATGGAATCTGTTTGATTGCTGAATTTTACAAGGCAAAATGTCAATTAACCATATTGTAGTTTAATTATGAATGGTCAATAAATTGATGCAATAATGTTTTTGTTCTCAGTTTCGTACTAGATGTGAACCTGACCTGCCTATAGCTGCACATTTCCATGAGTGGCAGGCTGGGGTGGGATTGATTCTCCTGCGCATGACAAATGTAGCTGTGGCAACAATTTTCACAACACATGCAACACTGTTGGGCCGTTACCTTTGTGCAGCCAATGTGGACTTCTATAATAATTTAGATAGGGTAAGTCAACCAATTTTTTACTCTGTGATTTGTTAACTTACTGGTAACTACTTTTAGTAATAGACTGTTCAGTGTTCTGTGAGCATAGGGTATCAAAAATTGTAAAAACTTGGATAATGCTTTTAGATTAATGTATGGTACAATATAATCAACATGCCTGATTGACAACAACAGAAATGGTAGAAGTGTAAATTTGCTTAGCTTGATGAAGTCACTTCCAATATGCCTCACAACATCATAAGTGCTTGCTTATAGTCATCATTGGATGATGAACTCAGGTTCTTACTTTTCACCTCTTGAAATATAATGCTTTTGCTGTGAAGTATGCAAATGTAATTAATACAGCTGTTGAAAACCAGCATTGAAGGGTCAGTTTTCACAATTAACTGCATATTAATCATGAAAAGTTCCTCTTAGGTGATTATAACCAGCTGACATCATTACCTGAGAAGAACTTGTCATGAACCACATACATTGAAAAGCTCACAATTATTCTACACAGTTGAGCACAAGTCATCTATCGGCTGAATTTCTCATTTCACTTAATATCATCGCATTTTTTAGCAGTAGAGTTTCAAATCTATTGCTAAAGGTTGCTCTGTGTTGTAAACCAAAGAAATCTTTTGCTTGAAACTATCCTAAATTTGTTTTTCCTTTTCATGTTTGCTGATTGTGTTCATCAGTTTGATGTTGACAAGGTTAGTAGAGAATGTATTTCATTATTGAGTAAAACCTATGTTTGGGTCTCTTTGCTTTCCTTCCTTCCTTCCTTGTACTAGCCTTTTGATTTTTATTTCAAATTTAAAGCTCTGCAGCAGTGACCTGATAGGTTGTCTCTTCATCCTGATTTCAGGAAGCTGGAGATCGCAAGATTTATCATCGTTACTGCCTTGAGCGAGCAGCTGCAAACAATGCCCATGTATTCACTACTGTGTCACACATCACAGCAGATGAAGCAGAGCATTTACTTAAAAGAAGAGCTGGTAAGTCATGTGGCCACATTTTTATGGTTTTCACTACAGAAATTTGACTAGAGCCTCAAGCTTTTACTATCTGTTAGTGAAAGTGGCATTTTGTTGCTTAATTTCTGCATCAAATTGAATGGATGTAATGGAAAAGATAAACCTTATCTAGTTATTTTCAGAGATGTGTTTTCTTGCTTGATAACATTTAAATTTTTTTGGTGACAAAAGTTCAATACAGTTCAATAAGGATACATTTTGATACAATTTTTTTGTTCTTTTTTCAGAAATTGTTCTACCCAATGGTCTAAATGTTATCAAATACACGTAAGTATTTTCTTTTTGTTCTTCATTCTGCACCTCTATTTTGTGATTCATCCAAGGTGTATTTATTTAAAAATCTTTGTTTTCTCTCTTTTTCATAAGAAAGCAAACATTTAAGGAGTTATGTATTAATTAAAAGTAATTGACCTCAAAATGAATATTAGATCTTTTTAAAGTACCTGATTAAATATGATTATAACATAGCTAGTAAATTTATGTAATCAAATTCAATTGCGCAAGTGTGCTTCATATACCTATTGTGCACACTCATGACGTCAGCAAACAAATCCCTCGAGAAAAAAAATTTTCCATCTGGTTGAAAATGTTATAAAACAATTGGTTCATACATCAGCTGTACGTTCATCGAGATATGAAGCACTTGGGAAGTTTGAAGAGCACTCAAAAAGCTAGAGTTGCTCTTGGCTACGCCTCAAGCAACTCTTATGCATCTTTCATGCTCTCCAAACTTCCCGCCTGCTTCATATCTCAATGAGACATACGAACCAATTGTTAACTATGTTGTTAAATGTTGTTAAGAAAAATGTTAAATGTCATTCTCTAAATCAAAGGAAAATGAAAATGACATGTAAAATTACAGTGAAAGATGGTGACCATGTGTGAATGTTAATTACTAAAATATTTTAGCGTCATACTCAAAAGTTACAGCAACACTTTTCCTCCCCACAGTCAACTTGGGTAGGAATGAAAGGGTTAATATTGATTAGCCATAGTTTTGACAGATTTTGTCACTGGAATTTTATTTAGAACACATAGTGTAGACAGTGCATAACAGTACAAGTAAAAAATTACTAGTTATGTGAAAGATACTGCATTAAAATCCATCTTTTGATTATTAAACTTTTTTCTAGATTTTATTTACTTGAAAAAGGAAACCAGATTTTTTAACATTTTTTATTATTTGTTTCAACTTTTTTTAGAGCTCTACATGAGTTCCAGAATCTTCATGCCATTTCCAAAGAGAAGATTTGTAACTTTGTGCGAGGTCATTTTCATGGGTATGTAACATGGAACATTTTTGAGTTAATTGATTATTGACATCTCAGTTTAACCTTTTTGTTCATTACCTGCTTTAGTGTGGTTTTTAGCTTAACACCTCAACTTTTTCAAATAACATTCATTTTCAGACATCTGGATTTTGATATGGACAAGACATTGTTCTTCTTCAGTGCTGGGAGGTAGGCCACAGCTTCATCAACCACTTCCTAACTCTCAGATGTGATCAGTATTAAATTTCTCCACACTGTTGTAATATAATATTCAACTAGCAGGTGATGGGAATGAACCAAAACCATCAGCCAGAGAGCATTATCCTTAACCAAATCCAAAACTAAATTCTCCTAACTGACTGACAAGGAAATGTATAAATGAGAATTACATGTTGAAATTATATTTTGGGAGTTCCAGTTTGAATATTACATACGGTCAAGAGAAACCCTGTGATATATGCTGTCTGTATCTATTCAAAACTTCTCTTTAGGTACGAGTACTTCAACAAAGGAGCTGACTTGTACATTGAAGCATTAGCCAGGCTTAATCACCTGTTAAAGGTATTTTTTGCCCTGATGCTGTTGCATGATATTGATAACAACAACAATGTTGATGATGATATTCTCATGTTTTTAGAGGAGATAAAAATTGTATCAACAGTGTACCTCTAACTAGAGATAAATTAGTATGAAATTAAAAATTGAAGAAAAAGGTAGGTTGTTCATGATGTACATGAAAAAATGATGAATGCTGATTTATTTGTATATTTTTGAGACAATTACCCAACTGCAAAGCAAAAACAGGTGTATTTGTAGATTTGATAACTTCCTAGAATTGTGAAGCTTGTTCTTATCAAAAGGAATGCGTCAGCTAGATAGATGTGAGATTATTACTCATAGCGATCTTACAGTAATAAATAAATCACTTGATTTCTGTAGCAGGTGGAGTCAACAACTACTTCGACCCTATCTCTGGGTACTTTTGATTTATTCTTTTAGCGGTTACCTTGCAGCCTACACTTTCTCAAGGTTGAAATTCCCCGATTTTTTATTGTGAGTGTGCGGTTTTTCTTGTTTTCTTTTAGTCCAGTGGCAGTGATGTTACTGTAGTCGCATTTCTAATCTTTCCCGCGCGGACTAGCAACTTCAATGTTGATTCACTGAAAGGACAAGCTGTCACTAAACAGCTCAGGTGAAAACACTGTTCCTTGGTTTGGTGATTTATTGTAAGCTATGTAGTGTTAACCTATAAATTTTTCCGGTTGTTGAATATTTTTTCACGGCTAGAAATGGATATGATTAATACTGCAATAAACGCACTCACTTGCCATAGAAATACTACTCAGGCACGGCCAAACCCATAATAATCGACATAGTAATCACAACGGCCAATCGGGAGGAAGGAACATATCTTTAAGAGAGCCAATGAGAACTCAAAATAAAAACAACCAAACTACCTAAAGCGCGGGAAAACGCGGGCGTCCAAGTCCTAATTGGTTTCAGTTTTGCATCTGATTGGTTGAGAAAGTCGTGCGAGTTTTCTGGACCAATCACAGAGCGAAGAAAAGAAAAACCAATGCAATCGCAGATTACTTTCGACACTCAATTGAAAATTGCCGTTACACTAGTGCGTATATCTGCCGTGAAATCGTAACTTAATAGTTTATTACTCTTCGTGCGTTAGTGTAGTAAAATTACTAAATATCTTAAATTCTAAATATCTCAAAGTTCACGAATTTAAGTGGTGGTGATTAATCTGATAATAAGAATACTTATTATGATAATAATTTGTAACGAGAATGATCATAGTGATGCTATTTGTGAAAGTAATACCGATGACAAGTGTAGTGATAATGGTACTAGTAATAACAATAACGATAACAATGAACACTCTGTTTTCATTCACTTCTATGATTTGTTCCCTCTTCTTAGTGACACAGTCTCTGAAATCCAAGATAAAATTGGAAAACGGATTTACGAGTCTTGTCTTGGGTAAGTCCCTTTAGCATTATGTTGGTGGTGATCATGCCATTTTGTTTCAAAGCTTCTTTCATTCATCGTAGGAGGAAAAAAATTGCGTGGTCGTTTTTGCATTCATATCTGATCCCTGCGCAAGATTGCGAGGTTATCATAGTCGCAATGAACCCTAAAAAAGTTTGTTTTCCATCCTGTCGCATGATAGATATGTTTAGGGGTAGGAAGAATTTGCAAAATCAACCGCCCATATTCCTTCAGAGGTCAATTGTCTATATCGAAATCGACCACTCGAGAACCACAGGAACGAATAAGTGTATTAATTAACTTCGCCACTATTCACCTCAATTCTCTTATGATTAAAGAATTTGAAATATTTTAGTTGTAAACCGTTTAGTTATAACTATTTTCATCTTGAACACAGGGGAAAGCTTCCGGATGGCAATAAGCTTTTAGAGGCAGATGAGATCATCAAGCTGAAGAGATGCATCCTCGGCGCCAAGGTAACATTGACTGGTTTTTCTTGGCCGAAAAAATTGCTACAACAATACAAGATTTGAAACAATAATTAAAACGTACTATCATGTGCAAAAAACACTCTATTTAGTTTTCGAGCAAGAAAATGGCGCATTTATTGACACAGTAATGTCTTGAAACCAAGTAGTCACATCAACCAATCAGGGTTGACGTAAAAAGGAACTTATCAGAAATGTGCGTCAACAACCCCAAGCGCGAGAAATCGCCAGTGACCAAGTCGCAATTGAATATTTATCAGTCGTAAATAATCAACAAGACTACTTACACGAAAAGAAGTGCTCCTTGCGGGTGAACTGCAATTTAAGCTACTGCAGAAAAGAAGCCTGAAAAAATTCAGGTTTCGACAGGATTCGAACCCGTGGCTCCAGATACTAAGGTATTTTGATATTATCAACTGAGTTGATAACGTAAATTGGCCACCATTAAGAGTTTCGAAGATGACGTTTCGAGCGTTGGCCCTTCGATAGAGCGATTCATGAAGGAAGATGGAGCTACGCTATCATTATTGATTATTAGATTATTTTTAGATTATTACTGATACCCGCATCAACGAACACTTTTCATTCACTGATTTATTCTTGGTTTTTTTTTTTTTGTTACCATGTTCCCACCAATAGCGTAGCTCCATTTTCTGCATAGAAACACACACACAACCCACTACTCCCTATTCGCTCTGAAGAAGAGCCACCGCTCGATACGTCAGCTTTGAATTTCTTTACGGTAGCCAATTTACCAAATTACCCTGTTGTACTCTCTCACCCGGACGCAGCAGATACTAGTTAGGCGCTACTACCAACTGAGCTACGAAGCCTCATGTTGGGAGCGAGGTAGATTTGAGAGAGGTCATCTTTCCCGCAAAGGAATCTCATCACAGTTTATTTCATTTTAAAATTATGATAACACAAAAAACGTCTCTGGTATAAAGCCGGGCAGCATCATTCATTTTTTAAACTTGGTGTTTATAAACTGTGTTAATCTTATTATTCGTAACCATCTCTGTCTCTCAATACTTCATTCGCGTTTCTCGACTTTAGTGGCTCAGCTACGAAATTGATAGATCGAGACATGGATAATCATTGCTAAATTAGTTTAATTAAAATATTTGACGCTTGGTTGATAATTTGCAGCGTCCAAACCTTCCCGCCATTGTAACTCACAATATGTTAGAAGATTCTGTGGACCCTATTCTGTGTCACCTTCGAAGGACAAATCTTTTCAATAAGCCTGAGGACAGAGTCAAGGTAAGTCTTTATTCATTTCTCTGTTCACAGTCTCCTGGCAGTCATTTCTTAATTCTTGCATTCTTTCCATAGAAAACGCGTTGCTTGACGTTTGACATTGCAACACGTGGATGAGACTGTTTATGTCTTCTA